CTGACACTGACCTGTCTCCTCTCCCCAAGCCGGGCTGGAGGGGCGCTCGCAGGCTGGCCTAGCTGGCGCTCCATCCATAGATACAGCTCCATATCCCTCTGGGATAGCCTGGAGCAGCAGCCGTTCCTTGTGAGGCCACGCCTGCTTTCAGCCCTCGTCCCACCGCTGCTCCAGCCCGCAGCGACCGCAGAGCGCCGCGGGAACGGCTGGACCGGAGTGGGTGCTGGGAGGCCGTGGAGGGAGGAGGGATGGGGTCATCCTGTCCCGCGGGGAAAGAGGGAAGAATGGAGGGCGCTCCCCCCGCTGCTGCCTTGCGCTGAATAAACGCCTTTGTGCCGGGATGGTCTCTGCTCCGCTACCGGGGGGTCGAGGCGGCTCTGCCCGAGGCCACGGAGCAGCAACGGCCGCGGAGGGCGGACACAGAACCGGGGCGGGGGGGGGGGAGGAAGAACGAGACCAGCGGACCCGGGGGGACTTGGGGGAGCGGCTGAGAGGCCGCCTGGTGCCGGTGGGATGTTCCCGGGGGCCCGGTCCCGGTGGGACGCGGACGGTGCCAGTGGGATGGTCCCAGTGGGATGTGGCTGGTGGGATGGGGCCGGTCCCAGTGGGATGGAGTTGGTCCTGCTGGGACAGTCCCGGTAGGGTGGGGCTGGTGGGATGGGGTTGGTCCCGGTGGGATGGTCCCGGTGGGATGGGGCCGGTGGGATGGGGTTGGTGCCGGTGGGACGCGGCCGCTGCCGGGGCCCTGTGCTGAATATGCGGAAGAACTTCACCGTGCCGGCTGACCGCGCACTAGAACAGATTGCCCAGAGAGGGTGTGGAGTCTCCCTCACTGGGGATATTCCAGAACCCTCTGGACGCAATCCCCTGCCACGTACTCTGGGACGATCCTGCTTGAGCAAAGGAGGTTGGACCAGACGACCCACTGTGATCCCTTCCAACCTGACACATTCTGGGATTCTGTGGTGCCGGTGGGATGCGGCACCACAGAATGGGGCCGGTCCCAAAGGGATGGGGTCAGTGCCGGTGTAATGGTTCCGGTGGGATACGGCTGGTGCCGGTGGGCTGTTCGCAGTGGGCCGATCCCAGTGGGACGGTCCTGGTGGGATGTTCCGGGGGGGCCGGTCCCGGTGGGTTGTTCCGCGTGGGATGTTTCTGGGAGGCCGGTCCCAGTGGGATGTTCCCGATGGGCTGTTCCCAGGGGGAACGTCCCGGTGGGACGTTCCGGGGGAGCCGATCCCGGTGGGATGTGGCCGGTCCCGGTGGGTTGTTCCCGGTGGGTTGTTCCCGCGGGGCCGGTCCCAGTGGGATGTTCCGGGGCGGCCGGTCCCGGTGGGCTAAGGCCAGTCCCAGTGGGCTGTTCCCGGTGGGTTGTTCCCCGTGGGTTGCTCCCGGTGGGCTGTTCCCGCTGGGTTATTCCCGGTGGGATGTTCCCCGGGGGCCGGTCCCAGTGGGATGTGGCCAGTCCCGGTGGGCTGTTCCCGGTGGGCTGTTCCCGGTGGGCTGTTCCCCGCGTGCCGCTCCCGGTCCCGCCCCGCGCGCTCCCGCCCCTCCGGACGCCGCCACCGCCCCGGCGCGGTGCGCGCGCAGCGCCCGGCCCCGCCCCCTGGCCCGGCGGCAGCCAATGGGGGGGCGCGGCGGGGGCGCGCGGGGCCGTGGGCGGGGCCACGGGCGGGGCCGCGGCGGCGGGCGGTGAGTGCGGGACCGAGCGGGACCGAGCGGCCGGGCCGGGCGGTGAGTGCGGGCGGCGGGGCCGCACCGGGGCAGCGGGGCCGCAGCGGGGTCGCGCCGGCCTCCCCGTCTGCTGGAAACCCGGCGGGAGCGGCCGAGCGGCAGCTCGGGCCGGGCCGCAGCGCCGCGGCCCACGGCTGGGCCCGAAGCGCTCCCCGGGTGTGCGGGGGGGCCGCCCCGCCCTCCATGGGCTCCCGCAGCGGCGCTCGCTGGGCAGCAGCGGCCTCCTTCGGGACAGCTCCGGCCGGGCCGCAGCGGCGGGAGGGGGAGGTGGTTTATGGGGGCCTGAACAACCTCGTGGGAGCCGTCGGGGCATCGGGAGTCCTGCTGGGGACGCCCTCAGAGCTCCCCCGGTCTGGGTGGTGGGGAGGCTTGTTTGGAAAGGTTTATTCCACGTGGGAAGTCTTGTTTGGGTTCAGCGGTGGTTAAAGTCACATCAGAAAGGGTGGGTAGCGTCCAGGGAAGGGAACGGAGCTGGGGAAGGGGCTGGAGCAGCAGGAGCGTCTGAGGGAGCTGGGGGGGCTCAGCCTGGAGAAAAGGAGGCTCAGGGGGGACCTTCTTGCTCTCTGCAACTCCCTGACCCGAGAGGGGAGCCGGGGGAGCGTCAGGTTCTTGTGCCATGTGTTTCCTCAAGATGAGAGAAAAAGGCCTCAAGTTGTGCCAGGGCAGGTTCAGATTAGGTATTAGAAGTAATTATTTCACTGTCGGAGTGGTCAGGCCTTGGAATGAGTTGTCCAGGGAGGCGGTGGAGTCACCATCTCTGGGAGTGTTCAGGAGGTGTCTGGATGTGGCACTTGGGGATGTGGTTTAGCGGTGATTGTTTTGGTGCTGGGGTGATGGTGGGACTGGATGATCTGGAAGGTCTCTTCCAACCTTGGTGATACCGTGAAAGTGGCACAAGGTAGGGAGAAATTAGTTGCATTTAAGGAAGTTATTGTGATGCCCCAAGAGCGGGTGGTTTGCAAAAGGCAGGGGGTGAAGGTGGCAGCAGCCTCACACCAGGGAGTACCTGGCTGTGCTCTCTCTTTCCTAAGCTTCCGAGGCTCAGCTGTGCCCACACGTGTAGCTGGGCTGTGCTGGATCTGTGGTACTGCAGCAGACGGTCCGTGGGCAGCACGGTGAGGTTTGGGGACACTCATGCCAGTACCCACAGCTGCCGTGGGCTGCAGCTCTCCCACAGCCCTGCTCCGTAAAGATCCCTTGACTGTAACTCATCTGTACGTGTATTTGGTTCCTTAAGCGTTTATGTCAAGCTTCTTTATGTTTATGTGCTTCTTGCTGTCTTATTTTCCTCATATTTTGGTCCTGTGTGTGAGGTCTGGCTGTTACCAGCAATGTATATCCAGGTCATGCTGCATACAGATGTTTTTCTTCTTTAGTGCCACGTGTTCGTTACACAAACGATAATCCTTGGGTAAGCTCCTCATTAGTCTGCACAATTCCTACCTCCCCTGTAGCAACAATAATTAGCCATTGCATATTTCCGTATTTTCCTGCAGAATATTGCAGCAGAGCTGTGAGATGGTGGGGAAAGCGCTGGGGCAACCTGGGATGGGAGTTTGTCCCTCCGACTTGTGTTCCTTCTCACTCCAGCCTTACTCTTCCCTGCGCTGGGAGCCGAGGGGTTGGTTTCTCTTGTTTCTTCAGGGTTTGTTTGAGGGATTTTGTGCCACATAATTAAAAGGCCCCTGGAGCTGAGTTGTTGAAAGCTGTGTGGGAGCCGGGGTAAGGTCAGGTTTCTGCACTGAAGGTCATGTTTTTGGTGCGGGCGACTTGAGCTCGTAGCAGGGACGAGGTTCAATCACCGAGTCATTGCAAAGATCAGGTGTTGCTAGCGAGGCATTCCCTGCACCTTCCAAAGATGGCGTGAGATTTCTCCCCTAATCCCCAGTTTTTCTGCTGACATTATTCCGGATCCATCGTGTCTGTCCCGTCCAGCTGCTCCGCTCTCGGCCAGCGGCTCCTCGCGCTGGTGCTGCCCCTCTGTGAGGTCCTCTCGCCCCTCAGTCCAGATTTTTGCACTGGCATTTTCTGAT